AGTCATTTCCAACCCATAGTGACCCTGTATAGGGTTGTTTCCAAGGAGTGGCTGGTGAGCTTGAACCTACAACCTTGTGGGCCAGCACATTAACCACACAACACCACACCAGGGCTCCTAGCAAGGGAGAAAATAACCACATTCCAAAGCCTTGCTCATAATACCAAACCACACTGGGTCAATTCCAAATTGTATATACCTAACACACTGCATAACTATCTTCTTACTATTACTTCCTAATAAACCCTAAATAACTCCAAATCCTCAGCAAGCATTCTAGGCAGCCTCTACAAATCTGTTCTGAGAGTTGGCAGGTGAACTGAGGCCTGAGGAAAGTTTATTTTGAAGCACCTCCCATCAAGAGGAATCTGAGTATTGCTATGTGGTTAGGCTGGCCAATGGGAGCGTCCTTATAAACAGGACACAAGGAGGCGTCTGCACAGTACTCGCATAGGGGGGCTTTCCATCTCTTGCTACTTTTGGAACCCAACATGATGTAAAGAAACTGATGTCAGGTTACTAGACAGAGCATAGGACCCATTGCCCCTGCTGCCCCAACCACAGGACATGTGAATGAGGCCATCTGGGAGCAACCAGTCCCCAGTTGACTTCAGTTACTAGAACCCACATGAGATAAGGAGAATGCCCAGCTAAGCTCATCCCAAACTACCAAGCCATAAAATTAAGAGCTAATAAATGATCTGGTAGTGTAGTGGTTACGAATCGGGCTGCGAACCTTAAGGTCAGCGGTTCGAAACTACCAGCTGCTCCGCGGAGAAAGATGAGGCTTTCTACTCCCGTAAAGATTTACACCCTTGGAAACCCTGTACAGGGTCGCTATGGGTCGGAACCGACTCAACGGCACTTAACAACAACAACAAAATGTTTAAAGTAACTAAATTTGGAGCGGCTTTGTTATACAACAGTCAATAACTGATACAAGGCCCATATGGGGGAGAGTAAAGCCCCAGGCCTCTTAGCTCAAAATCCAATAAACCTACTGGCCACTATATTCCTTCCAGGTGGCTGCTAGGATGCCTTTACTTGGTATAGATCCACAAGAAATAGGAGCCAGGATATGAGTAGAAGTATATATGCGCACTAGTGTTCATCGCCGCGCTCTTCACGATAATTTAAAAAAAAACAAAAAACTGGAGCTAGCCCAAGTGCTCATCACCACAAGAATGGTTAAACAGACTCTACAGACACACAAAGGACTACTATGCACTGGTGAAGAATACAGAATCAGTGAAACTCCTTTCAGAACATGGATGAACTGGAGGATATTTTGCTGAGTGAAATTAGTTAATTACAAAAGGAAAACTGTTGTATGAGACCACTATTGTAAAAACTCAATGTTTTTTTATGCTTAAAGAAACATTCTTTGACGGTTACCAAAGGTGGGAGGGAAGGGAGAGTAATTCAGGTGTGATGGGGAGGGCAATATAGAAGAGGAGGGAGGTTGGCAGAAGAAAAATGAAGACAGGTGAAGACACGGAGATATGCGAGGGCTAAAGAAATACAGGCACATAGTCTTATATTCACAACATTGGGACAACAGTATTTTGCAGGAGAGGACATATACCCACAAATATATAAGGCTTTGAAAGAGGATACTGGTACGTGGGTATTTAACTTTGCTGAAAACACCTGTGAATGTGATGGAGCATACAACAGATAAAAAGTGATGAAAACTTGGATATTAAACGTCTTGAGGCAATGAGTTGGCTTGACCTAGGGGCTCAGGATCATAGTCTAGGGACACCAGGGTAAACTGGCGTCACATAATCCATAAAGACAACATTCAATATTATACACTCTGATAAGTAGCATCTGAGATATTAAAAGCTCATGAGTGGCCATCTAAGGTGCAATTATTGGTCTCTTCATGGCAAAAAAAAAGAGGAGTGATGAGAATTGAAAATGCTGGAAATCAATTAGTCCATGACTAATTGAGTCCTGAAAAACTAGATGGTACACAGCTACAATTCCAACTGCTCTGAAATGGATCATATTTGAAGGTCCCAGATATGAAGGCAGAAGGTCCCTGATAAAATGTAGAACAAAACTCATAATTACAAAATAACTAATGGTTAACTGGTCATAAAGAGACTGGAAGAATCCGACTTAAGGACCTCAACAACCTTTCAGGTCTGGAAAGGAACTCACACTCGTGGCCCAATTTTCAGTGAGGCAGTACATAGATATATCTAGAGTGGTGACAACACTAGTAAGATATGCTCAAAATGGAACGGTCAATCATTCAAAATCAAAAGGGCAACATTTACCCAAAGACAAAGCTGAAAAGGGACGAGAAGGTGGGTGGACTCACAGAGAGAAAGTGGGTTAACTGTTGTTGCATGGAGAGGATTGCAATCATTGAGATGAAACAGAGTATGATTTGCTGAACGTAAAACTGATGATTCTGTCTGGAAACCTTGACTCAATTCACAATAAAAAGATAAAAAAAGAAAAAAGGGCTGCTAGGATCACAAATGGGAGTCCTGGTGGTGTGGTGCTGTGGGCTGATGCGTCAGACTGCAAAGTTGTTTGAACTGCAAGGTTGGTGGTTCAAGCTCACCAGCTGCTCCTTGGAAGCCCTATATAGGGTCAGAATCTACTCGACGGCACTTAACAGGATCACACAAATGGGGTTTTTGATCTTTAAAACATATATATATCCATCCTTTGGGCAGTCTGCTATCACACTTAATCACTATCTCCTTTAGTTTTCAGAAACTGGACACAAACCTCTCACTGAAGGGCCCAACTATGTCCAGAGGCTACTGGGTGCCAGGATGAGGGATCCCACTCTCTGTCCAGCAAATGTCCTGGTGCCAGAGAGATAATGGGTTGAGGCATGTAGGTTTTTCCACTACCACACTAGATTATGGGTGCAAAGCTTTATGGGTAGAGGCATTTAGGGTAGAAGCTTCCTTCCCTTGAAAGTGTCTTCCCTGCTCTTTTCATGGCCCTCTAAGACAGACATACTAAGGAACGTAGCTTCTACTGGACTAGCTGCCCCACCAGCTCTGAGAAACAAGGGACTCTGTCGGACTGCTGGGTAGGAACTGCAATGGGCACAGATCATTAGGCTCTAGGGACTCGGAATCACAGAGCCAACACAGGACAGTTGTTTTCCACATTGTACAGAGAGATACCAATCCAAAGGGCAGTGACCTGCCTGGCTACACAAGCTGAGACCTGGGCAGCAAAGATTGGAAGGCTCTTCCTAGGAGATGGGACTCAGCCCCTTCCTGAGGACTCCTCATCTGGTCTGAATCTCTCCCATGAGGGAATGTGGCTCACCTCATCATGGAACCTCTCAGCATCCCTCCCCTGTTGCAGTAAGCCATGTTACCTGGCAGAGAGGAGCAAAGGGAGTGAGGACAGAAGTACGTAGAGCACACTGGCTTTCCGGATGGGCAGGAGGGCAGGGCACCTTCATGACGAAACACACACCATCCCATCTCAGAGTAGGCTGGGATCCAATCTCTTTATTGTCAAGGTCCCCTCCTCCACATCTATAGAAAAATCCCAACCCTGGGAGTGCCCTGGGGAGGGGCGGCAGAGTTGGGGAGAGCTCTGTGCTCTGCCCTCTGGCCTGGGCAGTAGAGACAAGGAGGGTGCATGGGGAAGGAGGCCTACAGCGCCACCTGGAGACGATGTGGCACTGGCTGGGCTGCGTGGGGGAGGAGGGAAGTGCCTGCTGCCAGCTCTCCTCTGGTACCCACTCTGGGGAGGCACCCAGGGGGGCACACCCTTCTCCTGCCGGCGGCCATCGCTCCTGTCAGGCTGAGAAAGAGGGAGACAAAAAAGAGACTTCCTCTCAGGAAAAGACCCTCGTGATTTGATTAACAGGGGTGGTAAAGAAGAAAGGGCCGACAAGTGTTCGTTAGCAGATGGAGATGGGCCTGAGTACAGGCTCAGACCTTGTAACCTTGGGCAAACTTCTCCCCCTCCATGTGCCTCCATTCCCTCACCTGAGGCCCCATATCTCACCTTGTGCAATGGGCAAAATGTACCATGCAACTCCAAAAAGCAAAAAGCACATGCAGAATCTCCTAGCTCAACTGTTCTGGGAAGCCCTCTCCACCAAGGAGCATCTTACTCATGAATGCTTTAGGTATGAACTCACTTCCCTGGGAGCCCTGGTGTTTGAGTAAGAATCTGTCTTTCTCTGAATATAGCCTCAAAGGAGTAGCCTAGAGATTCGGCAGAGCTCGGCTTGGCCTGACTATTCCCTAGGCTAGGGCAGAGGACGGTGGTGAACAGTGGCTACATACCACTGATTTACACCTGGACGCCACCTTGGGAGCCCGGCACTCTTCGGTACCTCAGTTGCCACATCTTGTTACCCTGGCCCAACCATAAGCTTGCAGGGTTGCTATGGATAAAGGAAGTGCACACAGGGTACTTCCTCCCATGACAAGACCTAGTCCAAGCCCCTCAGCCTGTCACGTAAGACCCTTCCATAATTGGTGATCACTGCCCCACAGGGCTGGGGCTGCAGTGGAAAGAGGCTCTTGGCTGTTTCCCACACACCAAGGACTGCTACACCTCTGTGCCATGGCTTGTGCTGTTCCCTTGGTATGGAATGCCTCTCCCTCCATCACCAGCAGGCTCAACCAGGCAGCACTTCTGTCACCACAATCCTCTCTGTTGCCCCGGCTAAATCAAGCTGCCTCTGGACTGCCTTCTATTGCTGTCCTACCACACTGGGTGGTGATGGCTTGTGTTTACTTCAACTAGCTATGAGCTCCTTGCGGGTGGAGGCCGGTAACAGGGCTCAGAATGTATTGAGGGGACCAATCTTTGGGGGGGCCTACCTAGCACAGTCATGGCTCCTACTTCCTTGGTCTGCCCAGTCCCAACCACCAATACTAGTGGCAGGGTGGCTGGGGATGGCGGGGCTGCTCCATGACACTCCTTGCCCCTCTCCTAGGAGCAGGGCACTTCTATGCTTTCCCACCCCCATCCACCAGGAGCACCATACCTGTTTACTGCAAGGCCCCATCCTCCACATCTGTGTCCTGGCTGTGCTCCTGGTCGGGAGAAGACAAGAAACCACACCTCACTCACTGCAAGCTGCATCCTGCTCTGGCCCATCTGTCCAGAAGGACCTTAGGGCCCAAAGCATGGCAGGTGAGACAGCCAGAGAAAGTGACTGTGACCATAGGACCAGCCTAAACAAGGCTGGCTCGGAGTCCTGAGGGCCCCACAGGAGAAAACACCAGTCAGAGGAGTTGGGGCAGATTTTGGAGCACAGAAAAACCATTCTGGATTATAGCAACTGAACATCTACATTTCGTTGGGGCCTTTTTGAAGACTACTACGCCTACAAAGTAAGAGAGTATCGGCTAAATTCAAAGACGTGGAGAGGAACTGGTTGTGAGGAGGAATTCCCGAGTGTCACGGTGCTAACCCATTTGTGCTCTGGGACCCTGCAGACCTGTCTGCTCCCTCGAGTCCTGACTCGTCTCTAATCCATGCTGACCATGGACTCCAGAGTGGACTTGGGCACAAGTCTATCTAGTCATGAATGACAGGCAACTCAAACCACACCAAATCGGTGCTGACTCACAGCAACCCTGTACTGGATTCCTGAGGCTATAAAGCTTTATGATTTAACAGTTTATCCTACAGCACCACCAGGCAACCACTCCCTGCTTATTCCTCCCTCTTCCCCACAGGACTAGAGCCCCCAGAAAGGAGGACGGACACTCACAAGGAGGTCAATCAGCCCAAAGCTTCCCTCTTCCCCTGCTGCCCTCCTGTGGCTGGAGGACACAGCCCAGTCCCTGACCGCCCACCCAGCCAGACAGTGGACAGGCACTCACCAGCTCTTCCTCGCTGTGTGTCAGTAGACCCTCCTCATCACCATCGTCTCGAGCCTGCGCTTCTCCCTGGGGTGTGCCTGCCTCAGAAACCGTGTCCTCTTGCGGGGCTGGGGGCCGGCTATTACTGCTGCTGCCGCCACCGCCACTACCACTGCCACCACCGCTGCCGCTGTCACCCTTCTTCTTCCCATCTTGAGGAGAAGGGGTGGGAGAAAATAAAGCTCAACCAAGGGCACACCTCAGAGAGAACTAGGCCTCCTCATGGCAGATCCACAGGGGACAGCTTGGTAGATTTCCAGGGATTGGAGGCCACTCCAGCCTTCTGTCCCCGAACCTCTGCCCATACTCTGAGTCCCTAGCTGGGTGAGAAGTCTTGGCAGCTGACCTGGGTTGGCCTTTTGTTCCTCAGCGATCTGCTCCAAGCGGCCCAGCAGGGCATCGATGTTGGACTTGATCTGCGTCAGCTCTGTCTTGATGGTCTGCAGCTCACTGCTCTTTACTGGGAGTGGAGGAGGAACAGAGCTGTCATTGGGGAGTGTGGGAGGCTGACACTAATGCAAGACTCACCTACTTTGTCAACTGGGAAGGCTGGCAGGCTGGTGGCAAGAACTGTCCTTGTGCACTGTTTAGTTTGACTGGCCAGGGAAAAGCTGGAGCTGCCTGGGGTCTCCCTCTGTGACTCTCTGAAGGTCACCCCGCCAGTGACCAGCCCACATCACTAAGCCTGGCCATCTTTCCCTCAATCCTCTCAGCTCTCAAAGAGACAGGAGAGACACGAATTCAGCTATCTGGTGTGCACCCCTATGTGCACAAGAGCACGGATGTGTGTCTCTGCATATGTTGTAGCGTGCTGTCTACCTTTCAAAAGTGTGCCAATGTGGCTATTTCACAATCACAGTTCCTGGGTGCCTGTGTGGTGTAGTCATTGACCACAATATGTGTACACCAGAATGAATGTGGGGTCATGGGTCTGTCCTTGTCCTTACTAGAGAAAAGACAACACCATCTTTCCATGCCCGACCCAAGCCCCTCCTCCTCAAACGTCAGCCTTTTCCTCTTAGAAATGCAGGAAAATACTCACTTGGTTGTGTTAGGGCTGCAGAACTGTGGGAGATTGGTTCTTTTTATCTATTTTCCAATGTAAAAAAATGTGATTCTATTATTTTGCTAATAACAAAAATAAAACTTATCTAGGAAGAAGGTACAGACGGCACTCACACTTGATCTTGGCTGAGCCGCTGGTGATGGTTGTGGAGCGGGCAAAGAGCTTGACAGGTATGGTGGTTTTAACACGCCGGACCAAGGGGACTGTGACCCGGGGTCGCTTCACAGGGACCGCCCTGGGCACTGGCACTGGAGATAGGCGGCCCCGATAGTCGAAGAGCCTGTGAGGGCAAATGGACCAGAGGCTGCAGTATGGCCCATGGCCACCAGGAGGCTCTAGCCCAACCTTTGTGTGTCCAGCTCTACACACCTCTCCCTGCTGCTCCAAGCAAGCACTGGAATGAAGAGGGAGGGTTTCCGGACCCTGGTGGCTGCTGGGATCTTCACTACAACCACCTGTCCTACCACCAGGTAAGGACAGGTAGGGGCAGGTGAGGGCAAGTGAGCTGGCAGATAGTCTTAGTTATATCCCCATTCAGCAAAGGGGCAAGCTGAGACGAGCCCCTAAACCACTCCAATACTCATGGTCTGCTCTATTCTCTGACCCTGGTTCTGCTCAGTCACTGCCAGCCCAATCTATGTCAGATTTTGTACATCTCCCCCAAAGTAGCACAAATCCCCAGCTGGAAACAGAAAGATGGAGGAGTTGGGGACCTGTCCCTGAGTCAGAAGAAGCCTCAGTTTTCCCTTCTGCCTAATGAGGATGGCGACTCCAGAACCTGGGTCTGTCCTCACTGGAGGCAGCTCTAAGGGTAGAGCATGTGACTTCAGGAGGTGAGAGAGGTAAAAGGTGAGGGTCGCAGAGCACCAGAAGAACTGAGACTCTCAGCTCCAGGGCCCATGACCTCAGAGACATGAAGCTGAAGATCAGGCCCCTTTCCTTGTTCTGGGTCCTCTTGTTCATGGCACCCAATTCTCTTTTCTTACTCCAGAGAAGGAGGCTATCAGCCCAAAGATGCATAAAGTGTGTGCAGGCACAGCAGAGCTCAGGACTCCCAGACTGTGTGCTGATCCCAGGGCCGTTATTGGCCTCTCTTCTCCCTGCTCACCAGTGTTAGTCTCTCTCCCACCACATCTTTCTGCAGAAACAGCAGCTTTAGGGGCACCTTGGGACAACTCTCCTAGTGACAGTCCTAAGACCTGCTATCACTGGGCATTCCTTGATACCACTTTGTCTGGGAAACCCCAGGCCTGGGCAGGTGATGGCTGGAGATGGAGAGTCTCTGGGAACAGCCCCAGTCCTAGACCCTGCATTTCTGCCCCAACAGGGAGAGGGCGGCTCTGGCCTTGGTCAGCATCACTGAACCACAGAATTCCACAGCTGGAGGAGCCCTGAGAGATCACTTGGTGCGAGTCTACTGCAAGGACTGGGAAGGGGATTTGCCCAAAATCACAACATCCATTCGGTAGCAGAGCTGGGATTAGCAGCTAGGTCTTCTGACTCCAAGGTTAAGGCACTTTGCACAACCACACACGGGTGAGAAAACAGGCTCAGTGAGATTCTGTTGGTCCTGGGCAGCCTGGTGTGGGTCAAGTTGGAGGAAAGGATGCAGGGAGGAGTGGTTTGGGCCAGTACCCAGCATGAGCTCCACTCCACAATGTGATGTGCCATTCATTCATTTGAGTAAGAGCTCACAGCCTCAAAACTAGGGTCTGGACAGGCTGGAGGATAGAATGAAGGCCACAGCCTACCAGGGACAAATTCATACTCCAAATGAGTAGCAGCCTCAATGACTGTTGGTCTCTTGTCTAAATATTAAGGGAGGACGGAGAAGCAGGAGCTCGAGGGCTCCAAATCCCTGCAGCCAGCCCTGAGGCCATCTGGACTCCACTGGCTCACCCGGGGCCTAGGAGGAGTAAAGGCAGTCAGGGAGTGGAGATGGCGTGATGTTGCGGGGTGGGGCGCTCCGAGACCCAGCTCTGCCACTGATATGCTGAGCAATCTTGGGCAAATGCCTGTCCGTCCACACCTCTGGGCTTTGGTTCTCCACTTGGAGGACTGAGTGGGCGGCACCAGCAATCTCTCAGGACCCTTCCAGCTTTGGCTGTTTCATGCCGGGGCACGCCCCTCCCCTGCTCACCTGTCATAGAAGTCGTCCCGGTAGTAATCACAGTCAAAGCTGTAGCCACTGGGGAGACAAAGGGGAGAGGGCCAGGGCTTAGGAATGGCCACTGGTCCGCTCTCCACAGGCCCTCATCTCTGGACTCCTCCCAGCAAGTTCCAGACTCAGCACACTGTTACTACCAGTATTCATTCCCTCTGGGGAAGAGGGACCAATCCCACCCAGACAGACAGACAGAGTGTCCCACCTGTATATGGCAGATGCTGCTCTCTTTAGCCCCTTAGGTCTGTTGGGCTTGGGCTCTCCAGCCATGTTGATGTCTGTGTGGAGCGAAGAGGCAGAGTCAGAATGCTGGCCTGACGGCAGGATGCCCACATACAGATCTCCCTCACACACATGCGGACATACAGGCTTTATTCATATCACATGCATGGAGCCCATCAACAAAGGTCTTCATACACTTAGTCTTCAAAGGTTAGACTCGTACCCAGACATCACATGGATAGACACACATGCTCACAAGCACACCACATACATGTGCATTCTCATATAGGCACACAGGACTACAGAAACTATACATACACTCTCGCATATCCACAGAACAAAATCATACATAGAGGTAACATAATACTCTCAAGCACACTCAGCCTTGGTTCCAAAATTAACTGCTCATGTACCAGTGAACAAACGTTCATTATCTACCAAACATCTTTATGCCTAGAATGGTGCTTAGCACATGATAGGATACTTATCAATAGTATCTGGTAAATGCATACATGCATGTGTGTTAACACTCCAATTCTGACATACATCTACACAACTACCCATGTACATACAAAGGGATGTGTTCACATAGTCTCCACGTGCTCACTCACATTCTTATACTACATATTCAGGAACACACATTAGATAGCCCTTCTCAAATACACATCTCCTTCACCAGACAACACAGTGTGTGTCCACACAGATACACTGTACACACTCAAAGGCAGACGTCAGTCAAGAATGGTCACACCACTTAAACCAAGAGTAGCTGCTTTGTCACTGTGTTCCCAACCCCTCCAAGTGGCTTTCAGAAAGACTCTAACCTAAGCCACCTGTAGTAGCTGTGCTAGCCCATTCTTTTCTCTTTCTCTGTATTTTAATTGTAACTATAAGACTTGTCATTAAGATGCATTGAGAAAAGGGCAGGACAAGAGCATTTTCCATGGACTTCTAAAATTCTCTGCTCCAGCAATTAATTCTATACCATTGAATTTATTACTTATAATCACTTGTTATAAAATCTCAGCACAATGGTAGAGGTAGAGGGGAAGGGGACTAATGGGGGAGCTGGAGAGTAAAGGACAACAGTGACACTAGGAGCAGGGCCATGGACTTACCCAAGGTCTGCCCTGCCAGGACTCGCCCATTCTCTCCCAGCACAGCTGCCCGGGCATGGCGCTCATTGGCATACTGGACAAAGGCATAACCCTTGTGCACGGAGCAGCCAGCCACACGGCCATACTTGGAGAAGATGGTCTCCACATCTGACTTCTTCACCACAGCTGTGTTGAGGTTGCCGATGAAAACCCGAGAGTTGATGGATTTAGGGTCATTCTTGTTGGTTACATTGCTTGTCTGAATCTTCAAGGACATGGTGGCCGCCTGCACAGAGAGTCACTATGAGGCTGGGTCTTCAGGTTGGGCTCAAGTGCTGCCCATGGCTCATATTCTGGCTAAACTCCATCCCTGTCTTGTCATGTTACCAAGAGGGGCCACCTAATGGCTGCTGACCACACCAGCATGTTCCTTTCTACACATGTTCTTTCATTTGTAACTCACATGCTAAAAAAAAATACATCTTACAAGTAAGGAAACTCACCGAGAGGTCACAATACTAGATGGCAGGGCTGAGATTTGAACTTTGATTTGCTAGACTCCAATCCTTTTAAACTCACCCTCCCCACTTCTTGAATGTTCATCTCAAATGTCAACCCATTCATGATCTGAAGATTTTTAAGACCTCCCCACAGCTTTTCTTTATTCTGCTCCACCAATCTCGAACCATGGCAACAACCATCAGTGTTTGCTCCAGAACAATACCAGATTTGGCACACAGTCTGGGCCAAATGTGACAGACTTTATTAATACCAGGCATTTTGAAAAAGGTGTGCCAAGCCTAAGTCCTCCCTGTGAGCAGAGAACAGTGAGCAATGCTGAGTAACCTCAACCCACTAATGTCAAGTAGACTCCAACACACACAGGACAGAGCACAACTACTCCAGAGGGTTTCCAAGGCTGCAAGCCCGAATGGAAGCAGATACATGGTTATGAGCAGACCACCTTTTGGTTGGTAGCCAAGTGTTTAATCACTGTGTCACCAGGGCTCCTTCAATAACTTCAAGACCCCATGAAATGAGTATTACTATTATTATTATTCACTTTTTCCTGGTTAATGAGCTCCCTGAGACTTAGCAGTAATGGATGGTCAAATCTAAGTCAATCTGTCTGTCCTTAAAGCCCATTTCTTTCAGGTTTATTATTCTGTTTCTCGGAGCAATTGAAATGCTATATATAAAGACTCACCATATTTACCTGAGAATTGTTTTTTGTAAATTAACTTTTCAGAGCTACCTATTTTTAAATTATATAAATTATACTGTTTGGCTTATGTTAAGTACTGTCTGTTGTTGTTGTTGTTCAATGTGCCGTGGAGTCGGTTCCGACTCATAGCGACCCTGTACAGGGTTTTCCAAGGCTGTAAATTTTTACAGGAGCAGAAAGCCTCGTCTTTCTCCCGTGGAACAGCTGGTAGTTTCGAACTGCTGACCTTGCGGTTCGCAGCCCGATTCATAACCACTACGCTACCAGAGCTCCTTAAGTGCTGTCTAGTAGGTTCCAATTCATAGCGACCCTGTATAGGGTTTCTGAGGAGTGAGTAGCTGGTGGTGTTGAACAGCTGACCTTTTTCCAGAGCTTATCTTACAATATCTTATGTTGTTGTTGTTATGTGCAGTGGAGTCGGTTCCAATGCATAGCGACCCTGTACAGGGTTTCCAAGGCTATAAATCTTAACGGGAGCAGAAAGCCTCATCTTTCTCCCACGAAACAGCTGGTAGTTTTGAACTGCTGAACTTGCGGTTCACAGCCCGATTCGTAACCACTACACTACCAGAGCTCCTTACAATATCTTATAGGTCATATTATCTCTACTCTTTGCTGTCTACACTCTGATAACGTCTTTCCCATAAAGAGCTGTCCAGACCTCTTCCACTACAGTCCCCTGAACAGGTTACCATTAGACACAGTGGCTCAATCTGAGGAGGAGGGCCCAAGGCTTGTTCTTAGCACTTCTACTACTCACCCAGTCTCCTGCTCTTTGGCCCCTTTTAAAACCCACACCTCACTGTGCCATTTCCAGGCTGCTGGTGTTTCAGTGGTAGACTTCTGCCTTTCACGCAGTCAGTGTGTCTGGTGCATAGCTACCACTTGTCATTGGTGGCTTGTGATTTGCTCTGATGCTAAAAAGGTTTTGATAGAGCTTCCAGACTAAGAAAGGCATGGTGATCCACTTCTAAAACCCAGCCCATGTAAAGCCTATAGAGCACAACAGTCCAATTCACAACCAGCCACTGGGATGACACTGGACTGGGGCACCCCCTTGTAGTACATTGTGTGTGGGGTTGCCAGGAATTGGGGACTGACTTGACTGTTAACAATAGCAGCAAAACCATTTCAGATGGTACAAGCAGCATGTACAAATACTCTATCACCCCAGGCTGACTAAAAACACCAGGCCATTAACCTCGTACTACTGTGCAGAGAGGGGTTCCTTTCGATCAATTTGAGAAGAATAAGTATAAACGGGCAAAATCTGTATCACTTCTCTTTTTTCTCCTAAATCTTCTTAGCCTGGGAGCTAGTGCCTTCTGACCAGCAGATGGCACTGTTTTCAAGGAAACCACAGCTAGAGCTGAGCCTGTGATTCTAGGAACAAACTACTCATAGAGCTGGGCTCACAGGAATTCAGTGGTTTCACTGGCACCAGGTACTGAGAGGTGCCATCACTGCTACTGAGGACAAGATTAGTTTCTTCTGCTGAGTGTATTCTGTGCCATTAAGAAACAAGAAAAAAGCTTGAACTGGCCTCCAGGGAGGAGACTCTTATTATTCATCCACTTTCACTAACAAGTGTGGGATGCAAAGAAATGAACCACAGCAGCACCTAACAGCAAGAGATGTTCAGGGCATGTTACTTCGCTTGGGCTCCTTACACTTCTGACAGCTCTTCACCTACCTGAATGACAAGCCATTCAAAGGCTAATTCTTTGTCTATGACATGATAGACAAGGCATTTATTGAGTTCTTGAGTGGGCATCAAATAACTCAAGTGGTTCAGCTCAAGTCCATGAAGTTTTGGACCAGGGAATTACCTGCCACCTGCTTTGGCTACGGGGAACCAACTAGGTCTGGGGTGTGGACTGAGAAAGAAAGAGGAGAGGCAGAGATGATGGCTCTGGCACTGACTTGGCAGAGACAGGACAGTTGCTGGGTTCCCTCCGGCCTCTGCCAGGAGGAAGCAAGCATGTGCTGAGCACCTGCTGTAGACTACTGCTGTGATGGGGAGCAACACTGATGCCTTGGCTGGGTGAGCAAAGTCCTTCAGGGGTGGGCCTCTCTTTCATTACCTGGAGTTTAAGACAATGTCTATAAAAGGACTTTGCAAACTGATTTTTTTTTTAACAAGCTCTAGTAATTATTCTGACCACAAGTACTACTCTGCTAACACTGTCATTGCTATCTGTGGACCATTCTAGACAAGAGTCAACGTCAGACTGGAAGATGGGCAAGGACAGAGGCAGCTGGAAACTATGTTATCACACAAGGGAATTGGGAAGTATTGGGGGTGGGGGAAACTGAATGAACATGCTCCTGGCACCTGACCCCTGAATTCCCAACCTAAACAGTCCCATTCTGCTTTCAAGTCTACACACTCATCAGGAATCAGGCTGTGCTGTTGAGTATTCCCTTTGCCCAAGGGCGAGACAGCTGTTTTGTAGGGGTGTGGAAGGAGCTTGGAAAAACAGCTTGAGTGTCTACATGCATGTCCACAAGGCTCCATGAAGTGAGCGATGGTGCTGGGAGTGGGAAATGAAAGGAGGCAGGCCCAGATGAGCTCACCTTGAACTGTCAAGTTCAGGTACTGAATACCAAAGAGTCCAGGAATACTACATTCAAACATGGTCTTCCAGGTTATGAACACAGTCACCAATTTGTTAGCTTAACTTATAACTTTCAAATATTTAGATGGACCTAACAAGTGCTCGATAAAAGTTTGTTAGGGAGGAAGGGGGAAAGGACAATGGCCCAGAAGGTAGTGAGAAGGCCTAGCTGTGGCTCTACCTTAAGTGGTGGAGCATACTGGTGGACAGGGGTCCAAGACACCCTGGCCTAAACATTTACCACAATAGACGAAAATTATCCCCAACTCAGAGCCCCCACCCAATTCTTTCTTGGCTCTTCAAGGTCTCCCCCTAGCTTAGAATGGGAGCCCTAGAAACTTAGTGAAATCTTATGGAGCAGAAATTGTTTCACTTGATAAGCTATTTCCTCCCCTGGACCAAGCTCTGCCTCACAGATTATTGGTGCAATTGAGAGCAAGGTGTCTGCAGCCCCAAGAGGCCCCATGCTCAGCAATGAGTTAAAAGGGAATGCTCTTGAGAAGATGGAGGAAGAACCAGAGTTGCTCCCTGGGGCTCATGAAGGATGAGACAGGTGGGGACCTTGGTGAATATTTATATGACCTCTCCCTGAGGAACAGAGGGGAAGGGGCTTGGCCACAACACCACAGTCAGTAGCCACGATTATCCATGAGCCCTCTGCCTCTAAGTCTAGGGATTTTACATCCCCATTTGGGCTGGCAAGAGACCTCCCTGGCCATTGAGGAGGTTGGAGGGAACAGTCTAGATATGCTATGTTTAAGAAAACTGGAAACTGACTTTGAAATAACTGACTTCACCTTTACCTGCTAAAGAAACAATTGCTGCATAAAAAGCTAGATCTTTGAGTTAATTAAGACCTACCAGGGACACAGATGTGAATTACGGTGTTGGCAAAGAGTACTGAATATACTGTGGACTCCCAGAAGAGCGAGTAAATCTGTCTTGGAAGTAGTAAAGTAGTATAGCCAGAATGCTCCTTAGAAGAGAGGATGGTGAGACTTCATCTCATGTACTTTAGACATGTTGTCAGGAGGGAGCAGCCCATGGAGAATTAAGGTCACCATGCTTGGTAAAGGAGAGGATCTTCAAAAAAGAGGAAGACTCTCAGTGATATGGACTGACACAGTGGCAGTAGAAATGGGCTCACACATAGCAACAACTGTGAGGAGGATGGCAGAGGTCCTGGCAGTGTTTGATTCTATTGTACACAGGGTGGCTATGAGTTGGAACAGAGTCAAAGGCACCTAACAATGGCAGGAACAAACACTCTAAAATATGATTTATAGCTCAAAGGGACAGCGCCTTGCTTCTCTCCTGGCTAATAAGAACAGAGGAAATTTGGCAAAAATAAATTGTTTATCCCACAACAACTACAGAATGACGTACCATGGCAGCATCAACCTGAACTCAGTCGACAAATGGAAGAGTCCAGAG